TATATATATATATATATATATATNTGCTATATATATATATTTATATATATATATATATATATTTATTTATATATATACATATAATATATATATATATATAAATATATATATAAATTGTGAGTGTTTGTTTGTTTGTATGTATGTATGTTCATTTGTGTGTATGTACATATGTTTGTAGGTATCTAAGTATGTATTCATGTATGTAAGTAAGTAAGTATGTATGTATGTAATATATATATATTGATATGTTTTCCTGTGTTGTTGAAGTGTTTGTGATTGTACCTACGCTCACTTACTTATCTCGTCGAGTTGTCATTGACTTTATAGCATCATATGCTCATTGTACTTTCTTTTTTAATTTCTGATCAGGCGACCGGATTAGTTGGACTTGCAGTGGAGCCGCATGCTCGCACGGTATGTTTGAAGTCATGTTCGTACATAGAGTTTAACTTATTTTGTGTTCGATTGTAATGTATTTTCTCGTGTCACAAGGGGAGTAGAATTTCCGCATTTGCTTGCTTGATATGCCTTCACAACTAACATTGTTCGATTCGATTCAGATTATGCACTGAAGCTCAGTTTAGTTGTAAGCACTTCAGCTTGTTCCTTCACACTCTCACCCACATCTTCATTGCATAATTTTTACACAAATACTGTTCTTGTTGCAAATTATGGCATTGGACCTCTCCACACCGCTAAAGTCTCATGTATATAGTATTCAAGCCCTAACCCGTTCACTTATTCGTATGAGAGCGCACTCTCGTCATGCCCAGATGTCCACTAAACCCGCGTGATATTCGCCTAAAGCAGTCACTCGTGGTTAGATTACCTTTCTTCGGTGCTCACACACTGGCGTCGGATTATGGGCGCAGCTCTTTGTCGATTGACGTGCTTCAATTCGATGTTGTCTGATCTGTACTCGATCTTGTGTCTGATATGGATTGTTATTAGCCGTGCGTTGTGTTGATCATCCTACCAAACTCTTACCAAAGCCGCTTTATACAGTAGTTTGACCTTATTCCGCTCTGTTTTCCGTCTTTCGGTCCCATGTCCTTCTATATATCGGTGCAGATTCTCACCGGACTTTACAACGAGACACTGACCGTACTGAGCAAGATGCCCAGCTCCGCCTCATACCGTAAGCACACCGAGACTATCACCAAGGACCGCTTATCGACTGTTGAGAAGGTGTGTCATATACCTATGGTAGTGAATGCATGTATTACTTGCTGCATATGCATGTATGAAATGACTAAATTTGGTATACAAATCATATATATAGATGTGAGCCCTAGTGCTTATACAAATCTCATATTTGCATGTGAGCTCTACTGCTCACCCGTTCGAGTCTGCATCTCTGTTTGCGACACTCAAAATTTTGGATCGAGATCGAAAACGTCACAACCTTTCCCTTTGGGGCAATCCGGATGCCTCAGATCAGACCAATATCAATCTCACAATCAAAATGCCATAGTATTATCACCAGCGATACCAGTATTGTGTTGTGCTATGTGGAGTGAGTCGCATAAAGTTAGTAGTAAGGCCGTATAGCCGAGGCAGATATTGCGATACTTCGTGTTCGTTGGGCCTAAATATACCTTTTTATTGGACGTGGGAGATCATTATTATTCTCACAATCAAAATTTCGAAGTGTTGTCATCAGCCATATGAGTATTGTGTAGTACTATGTGGAGTGAGTCGCATAGAGTTAGTAGTAAGGCCGTGTAGCTGAGGTAGATATTGCGATACTCCGTGTTCGCAGGACCTGAACAAATGTTTAATTGGGCGTGGCTGGTTTCTGAAGCAAATCGGCCTGATATCCCCTAAACCGCATAGGTCTATAAACTCGAAGAGTGTTGTTTGATGTAGAATTAGAACTAGTATCCGGCCTAGGTTTCGTGATTCGTGAGACTTGTACTTATAGCGAGCTTGTTTACTGTCATCGTAGTTTGAAGACCCGATTCTAATTGAGAACGAGATTGACTGCGGGCAGATTGAGGAGATCGTGTTGCAGGCCAAGGCGGAGCTTTCGCTCGCTAACAAGGTAGGTTGTCTCCATATCCTGACGGGATATACTTTGTATCAGTATTATTCGTATAGGTCTATGTATGCATACAAGTATGTGTAACTCTCAGCATGTAGGCGTTGTGGCAGCTGAGAAGTTAGACGGATGCTTCGGTTCGGCACTTGGTACCTGGCACGTCAACACGTACGTGTTCAACTCTGTACTCGGCCAGGTGTAGTATACACCCACAGTAACTTTAAATACGTGTCCATACTTGCCCAATATATGTGCATATTGTGTTTGCATATACATATGCAGTAAGCACCCAAAGCAAGCTTACTCAAAATACGAGTATACTGCATTCGCAAATACAAAAGCCTTAGAACAGCATATGTGTACAGTCTGGTACCACTCTATGTGCTCAGCCCGTATGGTGTTTATACGAATACTAATCATACTAACGACGTCCTTTGACATTGGGGCGTGTGCACGTTGTACCGAGATGGCCCGCCCATCTATCCACACACGTTCACGACATTATAACTCTGATACGTTTCATTCGTTACCCACCTGTTTGCTGCGCAGATGTTGAATTGGGAGGCTTGGAAGCCGAACGAACACAAGGTGCCGCCCAAACAGTGGCAGTGGCCTATGTAAATAGCCCAGCACATTGCAAATAAACACACTGACGCAATGGCGTTACTGGTTACTGACTTTGACGTATGACACTGATAGGTGCACTGTACATGCACATCTTGGATGTCTGTCAGATAGATCGTTAGTGCAGCCGTTGTTGGGTGTATACCGCACACCTTTCAGTGTAGGTATGGGCCGTGGACAACCTTGATAGGCGGGATACATTGCGAATAAAGATGAAGCATGTTTTAATTATCTTCACAGGACACCCTTGGTAATATGTGGTTGCATTGCAAATAAAGACGAAGCATGTTTTAATTGCCTTCACAGGTCACCCTTGAATATATTAAACATGTTTTAGCTGCTATCACAGGACACACCCTTGGCATTAATGTGTAGTACACTCTGAATAAAGATTCAGCATGTTTGAATTGTCGTCACAGGTCACCCTTGAGTAAAGATTAAACATGTTTTAGTTGTTATCACAGGACACACTTGGCATTAGAGTGTGGTACAATCTGAATAAAGATTCAACAAGTTTGAATTGTCTTCACAGGACGCTCTTGATTAACGATTAAACATGTGTTAGTGTGTGGTACATTCTGAATGAAGATGCAGTTGTGATTGCAACTTCAACGAGTAGGATGAAGTGTTGTTGCGGGCAAGAGCGGCACCCCTCACTTTAAACTTTAGGCGAAGTGAAAAGAACGTGCCAAACAGACCACGTGCATATGTATTTATATATCGTACTTCAATTGCTTTGACTTTATTTTGCTATACTAGTATACTAGATACTCTAGCCTTTTAAGGCAGAGTCTTTGAGCATGTATATATATATATATATATATCTACTTCAATTATTTATATTAATTAACTATACTACAAAGTAGATACAAGTATTTGAGTATATATAT